CTTCCCACCATCAGAGCACGAGGGTTGGTTTCCCCGCCGTCTTATCGACACCTGGTCTCTCTCGTCTTCTGATGATGGCCCTTGTGACAGGCGAGAGGCGACGTCTCCTCGTGGTTCGGATGTGTATTTCCCGATGGTCAGTGATGTTGAGTGCCCCCTGTTGGCCGTCTGCTGTCTTCTTTGGAAAAATGTCTGTGTGGGTCCTTGGCTCATTTTGAAGTCAGGTTCTTGAGTTTTTTGCTGTTGAGTCGTGTGGGTTCCTTGTCTGGTTTAGGTGTTAACCCCTTATTGGATGTGTGGTTTGCAGACATTTGCTCCCATTCCCAAGGTTGCCCGTTCATCTCGTTGCTGGTTTCCTTGGCCACGCGGAAGCTTTTTAGTTTGATGCGGTCCTGTTCGTTTATTTTGGCTTTTATTGCCTTTGCCTTTGGTCTCAGGTCCAAAAAAACATCTCCAAGACCGATGTCAAGGAGCTCACTCGCTGTGTTTTGTTCTAGGGGTTTTACGGCTTCACGTTGCACACTCACATCTTTAATCCATCCTGAGTTGATTTTTGGGTGTGGTGTGAGATAGGGGTCCAGTGTCATTGTTCTGCACATGGCTGTCCTGTGTCCCCAGCACCGTCTGTTGAAGAGACGGTTCTTTCCCTCTTGTGTGTTCTTGACTCCTTTGTGACAAATTAATCAACCATAGGCGTGGATTGATTTCTGGGCTCTCTGTTCTGTCCACCTCTGTGTCTGTTTTTACAGCAGCACCAAACTGCTCTGCCAACCTGAAGTTTTGTCTCAGAGCCTGAAGTCAGGAAGCGTGATGTCTCCAGCTTTGGGGTCTGTGGTGGTTCCATGCACCGTTGAGGATCGTTTTTTCTGTTTCTGTGAAAAATGACATTGGGATTTTGGCAGGGATTCCGTTGACTCTGTAGATCGCTTCGGGGAGCATGGCCATTTTAACGACATCAATTCCTCCAACCCATGAGTGTGGGATGTCTTTCTAGTTATTTCTCTTTAATTTCTTTCACCAATGTCTTCTACTTCTCAGTGCACGGCTCTCTTACCTCCTTGCTTAAAAGTATTCCCAAGTATTTTATTCTTTTCTTTCTGATGTTTATTTTTGAGAGCGAGAGAGACAGACAGAGCACGAGTGGGGGAGAGGGAGACACAGAATCCGAAGCAGGCTCCAGGCTCTGAGCTGTCAGCACAGAGCACGATGCGGGGCTCGAACCCATGAACTGTGAGATCATGACCTGAGCATAAGTCGGATGTTTAACCGACTGCGCCACCCAGGTGCCCCTCTATTCTTTTATCTTTAAAAAATATTTATTTATTTTCAGAAAGAGAGAGAGTATGAGCAAAGAAGGGGCAGAGAGAGAGGGAGAGAGAGAACCCCAAGCAGGCTCCACACTGTCAGCACAGAGCCCGACATGGGGTTCGAACTCACCAATCGTGAGGTCGTGACCTGAGCCGAAACCAAGAGTCAGATGCTTAAGAGACTAAGCCACCCGGGTGTCCTGGGATTATCTTCTTGATTTCTTGTTCTGGTACGTCATTATTCGTGTGTAGAGACATAGCTGGGTTTTGTATGTTAGTTTTATATCCTGCGACTTAACTGACTTTGTTTACTCTAACAGTTGTTTGGTGGGGTCTAGGGTTTTCTACCCCTCATATCATGTTGTTGCAAATGGAAACAGTTTTACTGCCTCTGGTTTGGATGCCTTTTATTTTTCGTGCCTAATTGCTCAGGCTGGGACTTCTAGTCCCATGTGGAATATGAGTGGTGTGGGTGGGCATCGTTGCCCTGCTCCTGATCTTAGAGGAAAAGCATTTAGCTGTTCACCATTCAGGAGGATGTCAGCTCTGGGCTCGTCCTATGTGGCCTTTATGATGTTGGAGTACGTTCCCTCTATACCCGATTTGTTGAGAGTCTTTACCATGAAAGGATCTGTCCGTGAGTTTTGTCAGATGCTTTCTCTGCATCTGTAGAGCTGATTGTTAACTTTAGCCTGCATTTTTAAAAATTTTTTTTAACGTTTATTTATTATTGAGAGACAGAGCATGAGCAGGGGAGGGGCAGAGAGAGAGGGAGACACAGAATCTGAAGCAGGTTCCAGGCTCTGGGCTGGCAGCACAGAGCCCGACACGGGGCTGGATCCCATGAACCGTGAGATCATGACCTGAGCCGAAGTCTGATGCTTAACTCACTGAGCCACCCAGGCACACGTTTTGTTAATGTGGTGCATCACGTGCACTGATTTAGGGATGTCGAGCCATCCTCGCAGCCCTGGAATAAACCCCACTTGCTCATGGCGTGCGACCGCTTTTGTGTATGGTTGAACTTCGTTTGCTGACGTTCTGTTGCAGGTTTTTGCATCTGCGTTCATCAGGGATGCTGGCCCGTGACTCTCCTCCTTCCTTGTAACGTCCTTGTCTGGTGTTGGTGTCAGAGTAATGCTGACCTCAGGGAACCAGGGTGCGAGTGTTCCCTCCTCTTCTGTTTTCCCGGAAGGGTTCAAGAAGGATTGCGTTGGCTCTTGAAACGTTTGGTGAATTCACCAGGGAAGCCACCTGGCCCTGGGCTCTTCTTTGGGAAATTTTTGATTGCGGCTTCAATCTCCTTACTCGTAACTGGTCTGTCCAGATTTTGTTGCCTGACGATTCAGTCTTGGTGGATTGCGGTTCCCAGGAACTCATCCATTTCTTGTGACCCTTTGGACTTCCGTGTAATTAGTTATTATGTCCCCTCTTTATCTATGCTTTTATTTATTTGAGTGCTTTCTCCCTTTCTCTTGGTGAGTTTGGCAAAAGGTTTGTCTGCCTTGGATGTCTTTCCCCAGAGCCCAGGTCTGAGTTTTCTTCCTCTTTGTTTTATCATTTCAGACTGTGTTTCATTTCTCCCTGCTGCAATCTTGGTCACTTCCTTCCTTCTGTTCACACCAGGCGTAATTCTTTTTTCAGTTCCTTGAGTGTAAAGTGGGTTCTTCTTTTTTTTTTTTTTT